CTCCGATGCCGTGCATGGCCTTCGCCCGCGCCGGTGCAGGGCAGAACGCCCGCAGGATGTCTCTCTTAGTTCCCCACGCGACGGGCGGAATCGGTGCCATTCGTGGTGGGCGCTGGTTTGCTTCCTCGGGGAGTTCCGCCACGCGCGCCCATTCCACGGAATTCCGGAAATTGACGCCCAGGAGGGTCGGCATGCGCTCCATGGTGGCTGGGCCCCCTCGCGGGTGAGGCGCGGTGGGGCCATTGTGCCGGCGCTCGGCTTCATGAGGCGTTCTCTGTTCCACTCTGCCGCGGCGTTCCGGCCTTCTTTTGAGGCCGAGGTGATCATGTCCCTGTCGCCGTGCCGTGTGATAGGGGCGCGTTCAAAAGTCGAACGCTAAGGGAGTTCATGACGATGATGGCGTGATGGGACCTACCGCCGTTTCTTGCGGCGCTCCCCGTGCGGGGGTCTTGGGGGAGAATGAAGGTTTTTCGACGCGCACCACAAAGCTTGCGATGCTGAGAAATGCTGCTGACCAGCGCGCGATGTGCTTGGAGATCAACAGCCGCCGCGTTTCCAAGATGACTTTGTCACGGTCTGCCGCGTCGAGGGCTTTGGCGACGACCAAAAAGACAGCCGCCGTGCGGTGTTGCGGGCCATCGCGGCGCATGGCGTCCCTGAGGCGCAGCAATCGGTCAAGGGTGGAATTGTCGGGCCAACAACAAGATCGCAGCAGGGCCAACTGGGACTCGGTGGCGTCTCGGATGCGTGCCATGAGCTTGCCGGGGCAGCTGGTCAGCGTGACGGGCCGGTGGGGTCGCGGTCGGATGCCGTTTTCTTTGGCTTGGGGAAGGGGATGGCGACAACCACGCGTCGCCAATCCCGCCGGACGGCTTCTGTACGCAGGCGTCTATTGAGCAGCCGGAAGACGGCACGCCGCGCCGCACGGCCTAGATGGCGCGGCTCCTTTCCACGTATTCCGTCGGAGCCGGGTGCCGGTCCCAAGAGGCAACAGCCGTGGGGTGCGTTTGGGCTCTGCCATGGTTGTGGGGGGCGGGGTTCCTCGCATTCGTCGGGGTCGGTGGCGGAAAGCAGTGCTTTGGGTGCCGTGCTGCTCCCGCCGCCCACGGCTTTGTGTGGCTGGCGTTCCGGTGTGTGCTGAGCACGGTGCCGTCCGCTTTCGTGGCTGGCGTGCTCGGGGCGAGGCGCATACACACGGCACGCTGCTTGCAGGCTGTTGTCGCCCGTGGCCTCGGGTTTGGAGCGGAGCGCGCGCCAGCAGCTTTTGGGTGCTTCGCGCAGCGCTTCCCTGCGTCGGAGCCTGGGTAGCTGGCTGTTTTCTGCGTGGGGGCGGCTGGCGACTCCCTGCAGGGACCGTTGTGTCGGTGGCTTTCCGCATTCCTGACGCAATGTGCTTCTCTATGCTACCCATTTTGCCTAATTCTTGCGGGATTCTGCAGAGCTGTTTGGACATTCCGCCGCGCTTATTCCAATTCGCCTTCCTCCGTGCTGGTAGTGTCCGGTTAAGCTTCGGTACCGCTGCGGGTGTTTTGTCGTCCCCGAGCTGGACATGAAGGAGGGCGATGCGGCGGCCACTGTCCGGCGAGGGCTGCGCTGTCCAGTGGATGACGACACAGCCCTTAGACGGGGCGATGCCGGGTGCTGTGCTGCCCTGTCGCTCGGTGTACCTCGTGCGCTCCCCGGCGTCGACAAACTGGGATACATTCTCGACGCGCCGCTGCGCAACGGTATCGCCACGGGAGTCTGATGGGACGCTGCGATCCCAAGCCCCTCTGTGCGCGAGTCCGCCCGTCGTCTGCTTCCCGTTCGCCCGCGCCGCCCCTACACTGTGCAGTCTGCTACAAGAGAACACAAGCAGGGGAAAAAAAAGGATAGCCGCGTCGCCAACAAGCAGGGGTCGTGTGTCACTGGCGTTGCTCCGCCCACTGGGCACACCAGCGGCGGGGCGAGCGTCACGGCACACACTCTCCCCACGCCGGGAGCCACACCACCGGCACTGACAGCGGTCGCGCCGTGGGACGCTCCGTTCACAAATAAATCACACGAACACACAAGAATATATCCCCGGCGGCTCCCAACCGCGAAGTGAGGGCTCTGGAGTGGGAAGGCCAAAGCAACACGCACAAACACACGCACACAGACAAAAAACAAGAACAACAGCAAAAAAACGTTGAATCCCTTCCATCTCCCAATCGCGCAATTAATAGAATAAAAGGATAATTCTCTCCAGAAAACTACATACATTTTTCATTGGCGGCCTGCCCACACACGCACATCCTCGTCACGTGCTCCCAGCAGAAGCGCTCCCGCAGCGCAAAGCGACGGGCGCCCACTGGCTCCACCACCACCTCCCGCACGCGGGTTGAGGGCAGGGAGTGACACGCTCCACAGGGGCATGGGAGGTCAATGACACATTTCACTTCGTTCGGCCACAGAGTACATAGGACAAAAAACGGGATGCAGCAAACGATCAAGCAACACATTCGGAGTTAACACGCACAGAAAAGAAATCATTTATTTCACTTGTCAATCGCACAGCGGGAATATCGTGTCCTCCGAGTACCATTCCACACGGGCAACAGGCGATGTGTCGTTGCCAAAGCGCGCCATGAGCGCAGCGTAGTCGTCCTCCCGCACGTGGTGGACACACATCGAGGTCGGCATCACCTGCGAGTGCCCTGTCTCATTGCGGGCGTCATGGAAGTGACAGCCAAGGATCTTGACATATACCAACGGGTGGTACTTTACTTCCTTCTCAAGAACCCACCCGACCATGATGTCTTCGTGCTGAAACCGCAGCAGAGCAAACTCGTCATAGCGTTCCTCGCTGTACGGCAGGTACGCCAGGCGCCGCAGCGGCTTGTACGAAACCAACGCCTCCGCCACATCCCTCGACAAAGTGTAGCACCAGCCAACCATAAACGTGCTGCCTGGTAAGCCCGTTTTCCCGAAACTCCCAACACCAACGTGGTATCCCATGTAAATCCTTTGGCGCGGCAGAAGGCGCAGGTGAGCAACAAACAGCGGCACACGGAGAAACATGTCGTCATCGCCCTTCGCAATGTACATCGCGGTCTTAAACAGGTGGAGCGCAAGGTCAAACCACATGTACACCTTGCGTGACATACCAACTTCCGTCTCATCGCCCCAGGAGCCATCGCCACAAACCGTTTTATTCGTCGTCACGCGGCCCTCGTTTATCGGCATTGCGACCACATCCTGCCACTGCGCTGCCTCCTCCAGCAGCGCGGCAGAGTAGTTGTAGCCGTGCGACGGGTGTCGCGCAAGTACGTACAGCACGAGCATCGCACCGGTGAAGTCGTTCGCCCTCGTCGCCACACCGGGGAACCGCCAGCACGTCGTCCGCTGCAGGTTGCGTCGTGTTCGCCTTTCTTCGTTGTCCGGGGAGGGGATGCCCAGCACAATCAGATACTCCCGCCGGCTCCACGTGTCCAGAACACTGCGCGGGATGTAAGCAAGTGCTGCGTCATCCGCTGCGGCCGCGCGCGGGTGGCGAGGGTTGTTTGGCCCCGGTGCGCCATCATCGGCGGCGGTGTCGAACCTGAAGGAAAGAACAGTCGTGGCCACAATGAAGAGAAACAGCAGCACGGCAACCCGCCTCAGCTTCCGCCTCATCGTCGGCAGTTTCTTTTTCGCCATGGTCGTTGTTGGTGCGAGAGACTAAGAAAAAAAGAAAAGGGGCAGAGAGCGCGTGTGAGGACGTGGGGCGTTTTCTCTTATTTTTTTTCTTCTTGTTCTCTCAAACGAGCGTAATGGCCCGCACGACGCCCACAATCGCAGAGCGCGTCCACCCGCGAAGCGGGGACGTGGAGGAGAGCCTCGGCTCCGGAGAGAAAGCCGCGGTGGAAGGCGCGAAACGCACACACACGCCGCGCGCCCGTCCCCGGGCCAGCGCGGCAACCCGTCGCTGCCGAGAACAAACAAAAACCAACAAATCAGTAAACCATGCAGCCCACAAACAAGGAAAGGGAGGGAGGGGGACCGGCCAGGAGCACCGACGTTGCGCCGCCGCTGTGGGGGGCTTTGTGCCTCCTCGCCGCGTGGTAGTGCTGTTTGGGAAGCGCCTTCCCATCCCGATGAAAAACCGCGCCAACATTTTCGTGCAGCACGGCATCCTCGCTTCTCCGATGTTCACGCGGTGTTTTTGCCCAGGCGCCTGCAGAGCCGGGCGGTGGAGTAGACGCCGACATGTCTCATGGCACGGTTCGCGTTGGCTGGCTTTCGCGATCTCC